GATATACTAATATACTAATTACATGGGATATAATAATATACTACACTAATAATGGATTTTTTCATACTTTTCGGTTATCCGACTTTTCAATTATCCGACCAACCCCAGTCCCCAATTGAGTCGGATAATCGAGGCTCTACTGTATTATGTAAAATCAAAGGAGATCATAAAATAAATATAAGTAACTAATAATCTCAGTAAACAAAACTTAATGTTATTTCTGTTCAAAATAAAAACCGAATATGAAATTTAGAAATAAGTTTGTAGGAGTTAGATTAGATAATTGAAAAATAATGTAAACGAACTCGTAAACGGGTCTAAACAAATTTCACATCGAAATATTAGTTTCTAGTTAATTTTTATACTATTAATTATTATAAATATTTTAAAATAAAATATCATTATAGATGGTAGCACAAAGAATTTTAACCTTGAGTCATCACTCTAATATTTTTTTAAACTTAATTTTTATTATTATATAAATTTTATATTGTACACTGAAAATTATTGGAATCCTTCTTGGTTTCCTTAACTTCCCGTTCGAGCGCCAGGAAATTTGTGTAAGATCACCTTGTCAGCTTTTCAATTGAAAAGATAAACGAAGAAAGTATTCAGCAGTGAAATTAATTATATTATTAAATTTACAAGAATATAATTTAACTCAAATCTCTCAGAAACCCAAAGTTTGGTATTTTTAATTAAATGTTTATAACAAGTGTTCAAATGTTTCTATAAAAACTTATCATGATTTTCAGCTTAAATGTTTATGAATATCTCATCTGAAGTAAGACTTGTAGGTATAAGAAAAAAGAGCATGTAATTTAATCAATAGACACCGCTTTACGACTTAACCGATTTCTGGAAAATCGTCGTAAAGCGGTAGCGCAGAGCCTTATTTTGTGTGTGGTAAACCGAGATTACGTTCCCGGAAATAACGAGTTTAGCTATAAAATATTACACAGAGATAGGTTAAAATGTACAGTACATGCCATAAGTCATAAAATCGAGAAATGTTAACAGAATGGGTGTTAAAGCGGGAGTACTGACATGCAGTAAATATAAAATGTATTTAATGTATCAGCAGTAATTAAATATAAAGTGTTCGAATGTATAAATTTTTTAAAATTTATTTTACTATTTTTTAATTTTGAATCGACTTTTAACAAATATCAAGTCGATTTTACTTGGATTTTGATGGTAATTAATTCAAAATTTAAAAATAAAAATGCAATGCTATCATTTGTGTATTAGACATACTTGCGTAATTAGGGAAGATAAGCGTGTTAGGCTGATTCTAAATTTCCAACGGGATAAGTTTTGAAATACTCAGGTATATAATATTAATACTTAAAGGCAACATCTACGAGTAACAAATGAATAGTCGAAATTTGTTTATAGGTTTTCTTTTGCTCATCACTTTTTAACTTTCCTGACTGTTATATGTAACAGAGGGAAAGTATGGCAATCGTTAAAAATGACGGCCCCAATATTTTTACATTTCTGGACTCATGGCACCTTTAAACGTCAAGAAATGCAAAAATTAGGTTATTTTTGTGTGTATGGATGTTAGTGTGTATATGTGCGGGGAACATTTTTTTCATCCTATTTGAAGCTTAATAACTCCTGTGCTTTTGTCGAAACTTTCTGAAAGTTTGCAGGGAGTTTGTTTATTAGGAAGATTGATGCTATTAGATTTTAGTGGTTAAAGGATGACGGTGGGTAGATAGAGGGGTCGTGTCATATCTCCAGTAGGATCGGACTTAATGACGATTTACTCGTTATTAGCATTTGCAATTTTTTTTATAAAACTCACCCTTACCCACAAAATTAAGTTTTTATCATTTTAAAATACTGTAATTAAAAATAAAACAGGATTTAAAATAAAATATCGTAACAGATTGCGCCACGAAATGTTGCAGGGAAAGTTAAGCAACTCGTTGCTGGATTTTTTCAAGTTGCTAATTTTCAATTTGTGCTCAAAATTTGTTACCTTAGAAATTGGTAACCTTAGAACCATTTCGCGCAGGCTTGATCGCGAAGTACTACAAAGTCGTATAAATGTATACTTGGACCATTGCAACTTCCAATTTTTAATTTTTAACGTAATATTATTGTTCCATTTTTTGCAATTTTGTAATTCAAATCAGACACTTAATTAGACCCGTCTTTTGGCGCCTGCGTTTGGTGCAAACTCGCATGCCCGGTTGCATTGGTGTAGCCAGAGTTTTGTTATGGGGGACTTAGTAGAGGCCAGCCTGACACAAAATTGAATTATTTCAAATTATTGTTCATTAAAATGAAATTTTCATAGGAATCGGCAATAACTTAACACACATATAATATGAAACTTCCTTTAATCATACGTTCTCGTAACATTAATATCAAACTCTAGCAATGCCTTAACCCTTAGAGACTAAACTGTACATAGAGATTACAGATACACTTTTCACATTGAGCACAGAAATCCGTTGACCATTTTTTTAGGAGTTAGAATTTCTCAACTTTTCTATCACTTCACATTGTGAGGATATAAGGAATTATCGCCGATCCATTCGGGCAATTATTTGAAGTTAAGTCCAATATTTAATTAAAGATTAATCACGGGCCGTATAAATTCATTAAGCGGGCCATGTGTTGGCTATGGCTGATCTAGACTTTCAGTGGGTACACTACACCCATTTAAATTAGCTTCAGCTTTTAATTTCTTTTTGCAAATCGGCTCAACACTTTTTGGCTGTAATTTTCTGGGGAGGGGACCCAGGTTAACTGGGGGGGCATGCCCACCCATGCCCCTATTCATGCCCCTACCCATGCCCCTACCTGGCTACGCCCGTGCCCGGTTGTCTGTTTGGAAAATCGTTTGCCATTGCTGATACAAGATATTCTGCGATAGTTTGCACGATACCCTATATAATTCACCAGGTTAATAAATGTTTTGACATTAACACAGAAAATTTTGTTTATAACATTATATACAGTCGACCCCCCTATAATTACGGTCCCTATAGTTACGATTCCTATAAAACTACGAAAAAATTGCTACCGGTATCCGTAAAAAATAGTAAAAGTTCCCTATAAACACCTCAAACGTCATCGAGAAGCCGAACTACTTTCCCGCCGTCCGTAGCGCCACGCTACGGAGAGATTTCTATCGTCTGGACAGTATTATATAAATTATATATAAATTAGGTACTGTACATATAATTATATATTAATTATATATAAATTAGGTACTGTATATATAATTATATATTAACTTATTGTAACTTTGTTATAATTAAATATATAATTTCCGCCGTCTAGCGTGGCGCCACGCTACGGAGATTTTTACGCTAACTATCGTCTGTCAGTATGTAAATTAGGTACCGTAAGTCTAATACAGTACTGTAATTTTATACATTTCTTGTGAAAGAAACATTTCTTATTCAACG